GATGTGTCTGTCACTAGTTAGGCCAACAATTATGATCCTCCTTTATGGCCTTCATTCTTGAGCCACTGCAGTCCATGTAGAACTGGGACATCCACACCGTTCGAAATGGTATTCCAGAAATTTGATCCAGAATAGTGGTTTTGTTATTGCTCCAGTTAATCTGGAGGCATGGATTAATACTGCAAAGAATGCAAGTTCTAATCCCACCACAGCAGCTGGAGAAGTTGAATTCAAGAAAAGCTAGTTTCCATGAAAGCAACCCAAGCAAACTGTGGATTACTGGTCCACTTGCTTCACTCATGTCTGTTTGAAAAGGGGTAATGTGTCTTCTTTAAATTTCACGGCCCAAATTAACTCCAGTCGCTTTTTACTGGATCTTAGCTGTCCATTTGAATTAATCCATTTCATGAAGCACTCACTTGTATCAATATTTACACAGGGCAACTAGGGACAGGCAATATATACCTGCCAGCCTTTACCAGGTGTTGATGGTGTCACTTATATTGCTATGATATACAGGTGAAGGACATTTCTCATTAAGTACTTGGTGCACTTATAAGGGTTGTGATGCAGTAGTAATGCCCCTACACCTGGACAGGGAGAACTGGGTTCAAGTCCCACCTAATCCAAGGGTGTGTAATAATATCTCTGAACAGGTTGATTAGAAAGTAGGTTAGAGCACTCATATTTGGGGACTGCTAGGATGCTTTGTTAGTCAGTTAGAGGCATTCTGTAAGTAAGCTAATTATCAAGAGAACCTTTTGGCTCTAGCATCATGTTTCACGGTTTGGATCAGGATACATTTATCACCAGGGACACCCAACCAGAGTGCATTAGGCTTCGAGAAAGTCTGACAATTAGCCAGAACACATCTCAAAATGAGACTGACTCAGATGTAAAGCCAGGAGAGATGGGGCTTGATGCGAGTTTACTCAGAGAGTAGTAAGGGTGTGGAATGCCCTGCCTGCAAAAGTAGTAGACTCGCCAACTTTAAGGGCATTTAAATGGTCATTGGATAAACATATGGATGATAATGGAATAGTGTAGGTTAGATGGGCTTCAGATTGGTTTCACAGGTCGGCGCAACATCGAGAGCCGAAGGGCCTGTACTGCACTGTAATGTTCTATGTTCTATGTTTCAAAATGCTGGGGAAGGAGATGAAATAGGGGGTTGTGAGCAATTTGCAGGGCTACGGAGAGAAGGGGGTGGGTTTAGACAAACTAGGTGGATCTTAAAGAGGCAGTATCAGCAGATGGGTTGGATGGCCTCCTTCCGAGGTGTAAAATTCTGCACTCAAGCCTAGCTGATCCTTAAAAGTAGTTTAAAGTTCTTCACAAACGGAAAACGCCCCAGCGACAGGAGGCAATGATAACAGTCTGTCGGTAGGTGCTTATTTGGAGGGCAGGGAGAGAGAGGGGACATTCTAGATATTCTACAAAATAGCTTTCAACTGAATGCATTAATGGGAAACCACATTGCTGGATAAAAGAGTCACTACCCCTTTAAATGAGAGAATATACCGTTCCTGCTTCTAATCAACTGGCTGCCTCTCAGTTTACTTGTTTTATAGGGATTACCGAGTCAATGCTCTGCCACATGTTAGGATTCATCAACCGTTTCAACACGTCCTTCTGGTTATAACTTCTACCACGGATGTGCAGTAAAAATAGGAAGCGATTAATCGCCAGTTTCCGAGGAGCAAACTGTATGGGACCACATCCAGAGAAGTGACACGCAAGCCCCGAGTAAACAGCAAACAACTGCGTACTCCCTGGAAGATGTTGCTTTTCATTCCCGTCTCTCGGAGAGCCTCAACTACAAACACAGAGGTGCTTTCTTTCCCTCTCACACACATACAATAGAGAAAGATATCTTCAGAAAACATAACTGACCCAAGACAAGTCCGCGCGGCGCTGTGCCTGTGTCACAATGTGTCATTATCTGTCAGTCTGAGAGAGTGTGTTGTGTGTGTGTGACTACATGTGTGCAAATATGTTTGTGTGTAATTATGTGTGTGTGTGTCATTCTGGGTATATGTGTGTAATTATGTGTATATAACTGTGTGCATGTGTACGTACTTGTGTACTGTGTATGTGTGCAATTGTGTATATGTGTGGTGTGTGTGCAGTTGTGTATATGTTTGTGTCTTTGTGTGTGTGTGCAATTATGTATATGTGTGTTCAATTGTGTATATGTGTGTGTCATTTCTATGTGGGTGCAATTGTGTATATGCGTCTGCCATTCTCTGCATATGCACCTATATGTGTCAGTCTGTGTCACAGTGTAAATGGTTCTGTGTGTAGTCGATCTCAGTGCATGTATCCGTGTCTGTGTACATCTGCATCGGAGAGATAGAGAATTGGAGATTTCACTTTTGTATTTCAAGTTTCTGGTTAACCCTTAACCTCTCTTGCCCCTCGCGGAATAACAGTTCATCAGACACGGTGCAACTCTACTCGGGTTTTTTTCCCCCTTAATTCCAAGGATTGTTTAACGCCTGAAGTCTATTTATAAGCTTATTTCTATTTAAATTGGACCTGGTCATGAAAGGGACGAGACTTGGTGCCCCACATTGAGAAATCGTCCCTAATGTATCGAGCCCTCAAACACTCGCTCATAACACCCCCCCCGTCCCCCTCCCTCATTACCGCTGTCTGCCCCCCCACCCTCAGCGCAACAAGCCCCCTCTCCTGTTTTCTGTCTTTCCAGTCCGCTTCATTTCTCACTTGCTTGCATTGATCAATTTCTAACATTCCACGCCCCAACAACATCTACCCCTTTCTACACCCACCCCCCCCACCTCAACAATTACCGCCCACCCCCACCTTCTCCCCTAACCTCACCCCCAGCGCCCGCAGAGCTGAGGATTTCAGTAACCCTGGGCCTCCTGATGCCAAGCATTGCAACAGGATAGATTATCAAAAAAAAGGGGGCATTGAAATCATTAAAGAACAGACCCCCCCCCCCCCCCCCCCCCTTTTAAAAACCCCGAAATTTTAAAAGGGGGGGGGGGGGGGGGGGGGGGGGGGAGAAATTCAAAGTTGGAAATAACGCGGAGTTGCTGGTAATATTGAGATAATTCCACCCACCAGCTCTCCTCAGCCCCGAGCCCCCTTCCCCGCGTGTACAGAAAGACTAGACTGGAAATCTCTCCCCACATTACATACAGACAGAAGGACAAATTAAACAGAAAGGGCAGGGTATCTGTGCGTGTAGTTTTCGAGTGGGTAAAATGTCAAGTGGATTTTTTTTTGTTTTTTGAAAAAAAACACATACATTCCCCTATCACGGATGAAGTTGTTCATCATTTGCCAACTGCTCCTCCGTATCACACGCTGACCTGCCCAATCGTTGCATTGCACAGGCACCGGGTTATTCAGCAAAGTCTCTTACCTGCTCGGGAAAACGCAGAAAGCTCCCAGAAATTCCCGCAGCCAGTCCCGGAGTTCCAACCACAAACAAAAAGAGATGGGGAGAGAGAGAGAGACAGAGAGGAAAGCAGCTCCCCTGGAGGATTTTTAAATATATATATATATAGGTAGAAGGAAATCTTTCTCTCCAATCTCAGTCCGTGTCTGCCCACAGAGAGAGATCCGCGTTGTACAACTCTGCACGGTTCTGCTCAATCTCACTAACTCCGGCAAGACGGTATCTCAGCAGAAAACTGTGATCTAACACAAATGAGGGCTGTTCTAACAGGAGGCTCCAACCCAGCTTTAGGAGTTAGATGCCTGCGCTCCCACGGGATGTCAAGTCTAGCTTGTCGAACCGCTCCGTCCCCTTTTGACATCCCCCTTTCTGCCAGCCCCTCTCCTCCCCTCACCGTTTCAGCTTCTCTCTCTCTCTCTCGGATCTGCCTCTTTCACCAGGATTTCAACATTTCCTCGCCGCCGCCAGCGCTCTCAGGCAGCACGCAGGCGTGCAGCTCAGTCTGAAAACAAGAAGCTTGACTTTTATCAAACCTCCCCTCTCCATCTCCCTCTGCCACCCTCACTCCACCTACAGCACCCTCCCCACCCCCGCAAAAAAAATGATTTAACTGCTTAGACTGAATCTGCATCTCGATTTTTTTCCCAATAAATCCCTTCATTTGCCCTATATAATATTTTGACTTCTTTATTATCCATTCAGGGGATGAGGGCGCCAGCATTTATTACTCATCCCTAATTGCCCAGACTCAACCACATTGTTGTGGGCCTGGAGTCACATGTAGGCCAGGCCAGATAAGGATGGCAGATTTCCCTCCCTAAAGGGCATTAGTGCACCAGATGGGGGCTTTCCCAATAATTGACAATGGTTTCATAGTCATCATTAGATTAAGAATTTCATTATCTCTTAATACCAGGTTTTTAATTGAATCCAAATCCTACCATCTGCCACTGTGGGATTTGAACCTAGGTCTGCAGAACATTACCTGGGTCTCTGGATTATTGGCCTAGTGATAATACCACTAGGTCATCACCTCCATTGATTATTTCAGAATGACCCCCCTGGAATCAACTTCCTCTGCTCATGGAGGGCTATGAGAATACTGGAGGTTTGCAAAATCGGCATTGCCACAATGGTCGAAATAAAAACCGAAAGACCTATGGGTGCTGGAAATCAGAAACAAAAACTGAAATTGCTGGAAATGTTCATCAGATCTGGCAGCACCTCTGGTGAGAAATCAGTTTGAAGAAGGGTCACAGGACCCGAAATGTTAACTCTGATTTTTGTCCTTAGATGCTGCCAGACCTGCTGAGCTTTTCCAGCAACTTCTGTTTTTGTATGTGGGCAGAATGGCCTTCTGTGCACTAACCAATGCAGTGCAAATCTGGGATTCTATCCATCAATAAGCTGGTGAGGCAGTAGGGTGAAAAACATCATGGCATCCTAGAGAACTACAGCTCAGAAAAAGGACCTTCAGCCCATTGCATCTGGGCCAATCAGACACAATCAATAAATAAATATTTTATCTCCATCTTCCAGCACTTTGCCCATATCCTGGGATTTATAGATTTTTTTATAAGTGTTAAGGATGGCTAACATAAGATGGATTGGTAGAGCTAAGAGGAATGTCAGCACAATAAAAATTAACTGGTGGTGGAGTAGGCTCAAGAAGCTGAACAGCTAATTCCTGTTTCTAGATATATATTTATAAATGCACAGAAATGATGTATGTGCACAGGAATGTACTACCTAAAAGGATTTTGAAGGACAGTCAAGAAAAACATTCAAAAGGTTTTGAACAAGTTTTTGAAGGGGCAATATTTGGAGGGCTATGGGAGAGGGCAAGGGACTGAGGTAGCTCAAAGAATAGAGAACATGGAGAGAAGATGCAGCACCATTTCCTGATTGTGTGATTTAATTTTGTAAATGGGATCTAGCAGGATTTCTTTGTGACTTCAACCATAAGAATCTAGAGGAATCTCACTTTTCTGAAGAGCACATCTGGATCATAACTATTTTCAAACCTGTCTCCACCAACATGGCACGCGTGGGAGCTAATTTCATTATTTTCACCCCAGGAGTGCCAAAATTAATGGTGGCATTGCCCTTTGCTGCTCTAGTTCAGATCAGGTGACTTGGCAAAATCAAAGTTCCCAATTTAGGATCTTTGTGTTATCTCTGGCTCAGTTTAGCAGTTCAGAGGCTGGGAACTTTGTTGTGAGTAACTCACCTCCTGACTCCCCAATTGCCTGGACGACTGCAGCACCAACAACACTCAAAAAGCCTGATACCACTCAGCTCAAAGCTGCTGACTGGCACTTCCACTTTCAACGTTCACTCCCTCCACCACCAGTGTGTACCATCTGCAAGATGAACAGCATCGACTCTCCAAGGGCCTTTTAATAGCTCTTTCCAAACCTGTGACCTCTACCACCTTGAGGGACAAAGGCAACAGTTACATAGGAACGCCAGCACTTGCAAACTTGCTCCAAGCCACACACCATTCTGACTTGGAAATATATTGCAATGTCTTTCCTCTCCCAACAATGCTGTGCCCACATGGCTGTGATCAAGATATCTTTGGGACTAGCTTAGTTTGGGATTATGTTTGACATGGACTATTTGGACTGAAGGGTCTGTTTCTGTGCTGTATGACTCTATGACTCTGTAAGTTGGCTCAATTCTACCTTCTCAAGGGCAATTAAGGATAGACAATAAATGCTGATCTTGCCAGTGATGCTGACATTCCAAATGTGGATTTTTTTTTTGACAGGTCTGCACTGGGCGGGGTATTAATCAACCAAGGAGCTATAGGAGTGTGACAGATTTTCCTTTCATTTCTTCTGAGCATCTTACATTGAAGGCTAATCAGTCCATCCAACATAATAACTGAATCCTGACAGCTTCCTCTTTCTTAGAGAATGATTCAGTGCCAAGGATACAACAAATTGTTTCCATGTGCAACTTTCCACCATCTGCCTGACTCAGATCTGCTGAAACTGCAGGAAGGACTGCACAGAAAGTCAGTTTGGAGTTCGAGCTGAGATGAAGAAAGGTCAACATCAGCCATGGTCCGGAGGATGGAGAGGATTTTGGCTGGTTGACAGCCAAGAGCCTGATAGTCTGGAATAGCTTCGCTTGCATCTCTTTTCTTATGCTGTAACTTGGTTGGGATTTCACATTCCAGGCTTCTATTTCCAGCCAGGAAGGTGACCTAATGAACAGGCAGCCCATCGGGAATGGGTGCAACTAGATGCTGTCAGGAAGTTAGCAGCAACTGTTTGCTGGCCTGTTAAAATGGGATATTGATGTTTTTTTTTGGAAGGAAAGTCCTTGATGTGCATATCCGGCTTGGGCTGGGGAAATGGCAGACATGGAGATTTACCAGGGGTGTCCCTTATTATCATTGTGGCATGATACAGGAGCATTCTGGTGCCTCAGGCCTACAGAGTGCATTCTTTAAACGTACCATAATGGTCCATTTCTGGCCTGGGGTGCAGAATTTATTTTAAACAAAATCAAAAATTGCTGGA